GATAGAAAGAGGTCATCAGCCGTTGTTCCACCTGATTTTTTCACAGGACTCTGTATCTGAAATCCCATAGAAGAAGTTACATTGATAGCTAATATTTCTTTGTTGTAAAGTATATAAGTTTAGAAATTTGTAGTATGGCATAATCTTTGGCTGTAGTATTTACAGCATTATTCATTGGTGTAAAGTCCTTTAAGGAATTATGTCATGTTGTTTGAATTTGGTTATATAAGTATGCCAGTTTTTTGATAAATTTTATGGATTTCTAGTCTATCCATGTGAACTTAGTGTTTCTCATTATTCCAAAAGCTATGACACAAAAAATACATAAAAGTTGTAGAAAAAGTTTCCAATTGAATATTAGAAAATAAAACTTCCTAACATTAAGAACAATTTGACAATGGATGGGTTCAAGCAAGGTTTGGATACTGTGTGATGCTTTAATTTGGATTCTTGCATTGAGCAGATGTTTGGCTCAAATGTTGCTTTCTACCCTGTTATTTAAATTGAGGATGTTCATTTTTCAGACTAGTTCAGAGTGTGTGTTGGATCCTCAGCAAGCTCAAGCTTTTGACCAGCTCTGTCGTCTATATCGTGGAACATCAAGGGTAATGTAATTTTGTATTTTCCTTTTAATACAAACTGGATCAAACTATGTCATGCTCTCAGACATTATACTGTGTATTTGAAATATCATAGCCATGGTGGCACAGTGGTTCAAATGCAGTACTGCAGGCTAACTCACTACTCACACCAGAAGTTCGATTCTAAGCGGCTCAAGGTTGAGTCAGCCTCCCATCCTTCCAAGGTCGGTAAAATGAGGACCAAGATTGTTGGGGGAAGCAATAGGCTGACTCTGTAAATAGCTTAGAGAGGGCTGTAAAGCACTGTGAAGTGGTATATAAGTTTAAGTGCTATTGCTATTGCTATCATAAAGATCGTTGTTGTCATTGTGTTTGTCTTGGATGGAAAATAAACAAGGCATGGACATAAAAAAACACACTGAAAGAAATAAAGGTCCTATCAAGTTATAAATCTTATTTAGACCAATAAAATGTTTATTTTATGCCTATAAGCAGGAAATGCAGTAAACATAATTGCTTTGCCTTGCTCGGGGGTGTCAAACTCAAGGCCCTCAAGCTGGATCCAGCCCACGGGGTGCTGAGAGCTGGCCTGTGGAGCCGCCCTGGAAATGGTGAGGGATTGGCCTGTGGTGCCCCTGCAGTGAAAACAAGCTCCATTTTTGCTGGCAGAGGATTGCAAGTGGCTTCGCAGCCAGAAACTGAGCTTCAGAGCCTGTTTTCGCTGGCAGAGTGCTGAGTCCATCACAGGATCCCTCAACATGAGTGACATCGAGCAGGCCCCGCGTACTCTGGCCACACCCACCCCGGCCCCCTGAGGTCAAACATAACTCTGATATGGCCCTCAATGAAATCGAGTTTGACACCCCTGGCCTTGCTTATTTTCAATAGCAACTGCCATTGAAAAGCATACAGAAGCTCTGTCAGAGAAGATGAAAAATTTCTCTGTCTCTATTTTCTTTAAACATTGCTTGATTTTTTTTCAACTTTATCATAATTCATTTAACTATTTTTTTCCAAGCTAAACAGCCCTAGATAAACTACCTTTTCTCAGGGGAAGGTTTTTCCAGCATCTTGACCTATTTTGACTGTGTTCTTCCATGCCTTTTGATGCACAATAATATTTTAAATAAAACATTCAATTGTTCTGCAACAGACAGACACTCATTGGTAGAATGTCTGAAGTTTCCTTCAGGAATGGTTCATACTTTCCTGAGGTATATACAGTATTTACATTTTTATTCTTTAAACACTCTTTGTTTTCAGAAAGTTATCTTTGTCTTTTCTAGTTAAAACTATTGTTCACATCTGACTTCTACTAGGATTGTTTTCCTACATACATGTAATTTACATGCATGTTTATTGTGATATAGCCAAGAATGTTTTAAGGCAATTGGTTAGAAAAATGCAGGTTATTGTTTGTGATTTTAATGAAAATTCAGGCAATATATAATGCCTGAATATGTTGATCTTTCCTCTTTGAAATAATTTGTTTCTTCACTGCCTTATAAACTTATCATTTACAATAGCAATGTTGCATAAATATATATGTATATATTTCTTTTATTTTGTAGCTAGCACTTTTGACTGAATTGTCTCGAGATCATGGTGGTGAAAAACATGGTTTTGTCCAAGTATCCCGAGGGGATTCTGCCCTGAATAGTGTCTTCCAAAATGAGACTTTTCAGCTTCATCTCAATCCTCCTCCTCTTCTAGAAGACTAATCATTGGATATCAAGCATTATGAAAAAATACTTCCAGTGTTTGCTGGTGGATCCAAAGTAAAAGGTAGCAGTACGTATCTTATAAATAACTGCAACAATGCAATCTTTGTGAGAACCAGCTGTTTTGAACCTTAACAAAACAGAACATCAGTGTCAAGCATTCTAGTCCTCACGTCCAGTGGATTTTTCTGGAAGCTATACACTCTATGAAGCCTATACTTTTTTCATTTAAATTCAAAGTGAAGAATGCAACTTTACATTCATTATAAAGGCTACAATGCAAGACAGAACTGGTAGTATGTTTATGAGATTGCTTTCTCTAATGTGTTTCTTCTGCTCTCAGTTGCTTCTGAAAATCTGTTAGCTCCTCCAGTTGCAGCTCAAGAAATGTTGCTGTGACAGATGCTATTCCTTGGAAATTTAACATACTAACATCATAAATGAGAAAATCTGTTAATGAAGCACATTAGAATATACCACTCAGCCAACTAGATATTTGATGTCAGTTTGTGTATCTTCTGAGTGCTTTCATGAGTGCCAGCTTTTCCACGGAGAGCTTACTGTTTCCAGTGTACCAAAAGAAACCAGCACATTACTCATTTATGATGGCTGCTCTCTTGCTGCCAAATTGCATGGAAAAGATACCTTCTTCTATTATATATTGTCAGATTCCTGAACCTTAGCCATTTATCTTTATGAATTCACTAAAGGATTACAATGTTGTTGTTTTTCCTCCTTATCTTTGCCACAGACAAAAAATGAACAATCTGATACAGGAATATATTTTTGAAAATGAATGTTTATGATCCCTGTAAATGATATTTAATAACCTTCTATCTTTCCATTAGTTACTGTTTGACAGTTTTACTTTATTTGTTCAAAAGATTTCCAGTTTCCATATGTGTAGACAGGAGCAAGTATAAATTAAACGATATATAAAAACCAGAATTATTATGCACATTTATACTAAATTATTTCATGGCTGAATTTATTATTTTTTGTTCATTTATCATTTTGTCAGAAAGTTGTAATCTTATATTTGTATATATATTTTCCATGTGATCAAAATATCTGTTGCTATCCACTTCAAAATTACCTATCTTCTATAGTTAGAGGCTATCAAAAATTATGAATTTATGTACGAAATATTCTGTCAATACAGGTAGTCCTTGATTAGGATCACAATTGAACCCAAAATTTACTAAATTTTGCTAAATATTGCTAAGTGAAACATTTGTTAAGCAAGTTGGCCCCATTTAACGACTTTTCTTGCCACAGTTGTTAAGTGAATCATTGCAACTGTTAATAACATAGTTGTTAAATGAATCTGGATTCCGCACTGACGGATCACATGACCCTGGGACACTGTAATTGTCATAAACATCAACCACTTGTCAAACATCTGAATTTTGATCATGGGATTGTGGGGATGTTGCCATGGTCGTAAGTGTGAAAAATGGTCATAACTCTTTTTTTCAGTGCCACTGTAACTTTGAACAGTCACTAAACGAACTGTTTTAAATAGAGGACTACCTGAATTCCTGCTAAAAAAATACCTGGTCTATATAGCTTGTTACATAAAGAAAAGAACAATGGGTTAAGAAACATTGCAAAGTTATTTTGTACTTCCAGTAGTCTAAGGAAGTATAAGTAAATATAATCTTTATTGTCATTGTACTTAAATACAACAAAATTGGTAGATTTTTAATAGCCAGACACAAACATATGAATACTTTTAGAATTATTGGAATGGGTGTATTCCTATTTCTTAGTCTTTTTTATTTGGTTTATGTGGACAATGTTGTATGAACTGTTTACCATAAACATAATACCTCCTTCAGTAACTGCACAGACAACTCTTTTGGATTCACATTGTTACTGAAATAGGCAAAGATTACCTACTAATCCAGAATTCCTTGATCCCTGTGTGGATGAAATAACCCACTGAGGAATGCATTGATCAAACTGTATAATTCAGACATTACCTAGACTTTGCAATGCTTTGTAATCAATTTAAGATAATTCAGAATACAGAAAGTCCTTGACTTACAACCATTCCTTTAGCAACCATTTGAAATTACAGTGGCACTGAAAAAAATGACCAGCAACTGATCTTTGCACTTAACACTGTTGCAGCATCCCCACAGTCAAGTGATCAAAATTTGGGTGCTTGGCAACGGACACGTATTTACAATGGTTGCAGAGCCCTGGGTCATTGATTGCCATTTGCCATTTTCCCAGCTGGGAAACTCAAGAAGGTCAATAGAGAAAACCGAGTTCGCTTGATTGATCACATGATTAACTTAACTGCAGTGATTTGCTTAATAACCATGGCAAAGAGAGGTGGCTGATTTACTTTACATATTTAGCTTATATAAAAGAAAGAAAGGTGTCTGAAGACATTTAAAACATGTTACTTTTTCATTTTCACATGCATAAATGAATGGTCAAAATTTTCATTAGTTGCTATTTTAATGGAAAAAAAGCTGTCATATCCATGTTTTCAACATTGTTTTTATTTTATTTACAATCAGAAACCAAAAAGAAAAGAACATAATACTAGAGTTATCAACCAATAAAAGAAAAAGTATGATATGCCAAACACAAAATATTGTTTAAAAAATTCTGCTTGCTATATTTTACAAAGCATAATCAGAACTAGAAAAGTTCTAAAAAAGATCAACCAGGAGTGTTAACAGTTCTTCAGATGAAAGAAATGAATGCTGGAGTTTTGATAAATAATGTATAGTTTGGAAAAGATTTTTCCCCTTTTCCACTAAACATTCTTAATGAGAAGAATGATAAAATATTCAGAAGACACAAAGGAAACCCTTAATCATACAGCTTAATTATGGAATCTGCTGCCACGAGATATGTTGATGGCTATTAAAGTCAATGATTAGTCATAATAATTAACAGAATAGAGTTGTCAGTGCTACTTGATGGGCATATGTTGTCTCTGAGATCAGAAACAGTGTATTTCTAATATTTAAGTTGGTGAGAAACAACAGTGAGAATTAATATGCTCATGTTCTGCCTTTAGGCTTCCCAAGAAACTTCTACATAACGTTTACAATATATTAAACAAAAGTTTGAGATCCAACATTAGAAAATAGTTGTGAATATATTAATATATTACTAGTTCTTTTTATTTTATATGTACCTCTCACAATGGGATGAGAATCTCTCTCCATCTACAATTCACGCTGATCTTCCATGTAATAAGCTTTGAGGCCATTTGCAGTTTCAGTTCTATGCTATGTATAAGTGTATACGATTCTACAGCATACTGAAACACTCTAATAATTTTGATTTTATACAAAGAATAATCTGAGTTCTGCATCGAAGATGTGATTCAGAAAATTGTGTTGCCATTTAATGTTTGTAGCCCAAACAGTTTCTTACATTTTATCCTGCTATTCTCTAAAATAGGTTTTTTTAAAATAGATTAAGTGATTTGTTTAGTATCCCTAAAAAATCAAAATCTTGCAAAGCATTAATGAAAAAGCTTATTTCAGCTTTACATCTCCAAAGTGCCCAGATTTGATTAGAGTTGGGCAGTATACAAACTCTCTTCGGTGAATAAAAAACAGGAGTATATTTCAAGGCAAATATTAATATTAATCTTTATTTAAAGTGAAGATTCAGTGAAGGGACTCATCTGTCTTGTTTTAATTTAAATAATGTGAGTAGTGGGAAGAAAAGGTTCTACTCTCAAACTTCTCAGAGTTTTTATTAATTACGGTTTTCAATTAGTGACTTTCCATATTTGGCAAGTAAATTTAAATATCCGACATATTGAAACTTCTATAAAAGTTGAACATTGAAAGATTTTATAAAAATAAATATTGGTAGCAATAGAAGGATATTAATCTACAACTATTATCCTTTGGGATTGTAGCAAAGAAATGTTTAACATTTCTTAAAGCATTTAGGCCTTGTTTAGACCATGGAAGTGAATTTTGATTATAAGAAGCTTCAAGTAAAATCAACTTTATGCCATTATTTTATTCATCCAATTGCAAGAGGTCAGATAGAGAATATTCCATGTACATTATCCTTCTGAATTGCTTTACTATATATAAAGCTAATGAAAGTTCTGGCAAATATTGCTAGAACGTGTAAATGTTCCTTAAACTGTTGTTAAAACCTTCCAGATGATTCTGCTCAAATATATATGGTTTTTGTATATGGTTTTTAAATTTATTATCTAGACTCTAAATCTGCAGAGAGAGCAGAAATCTTGATACATTTTTGTTCATCTATGTTGGAAGTAAATAATAATTGGCAGAAGTACAAAATACCTGGGTCGATATTACAGGAAAGGCAAAGTAGGTCTAGAGTTTCCTGCATGAGAACTCAGATAATTACTAATGAAAATTTTTCCTTTCAAAAAGTTTATAGAATGACTTTATATAATGTGGTATTAATGAAACAGTGGTAAGTGGACCTGTTACGCAACACTTGTTTCTCAAGTGATGGTTTCTATGCTACGTCCAATTCATGTTACTTTACGTGTCCATGTACATTCACATATGATGAAAGGTAACATCAAACACACCCATTTCACATCAAGACATGAACATTTGTAGTGCCACAAAACTGTGGAAAAGAAATCCACTTTACTTTATGGTTGTGCAAAAACAATCTTCACATTTATTATTTTGTGAGAAGTTTACATGAAACAATGATGTGCTCTTGAGAATAGTTTGAGACACAGTATTTACGTGCTGAATCAGTCAATCAAATCCTGCATGGCTTCCATTGAAGAAATCTCCAAAGAAGCCAGAACAAGACAACTTTGACTGTTGTGCTTAAGATTTTGAAACAGAGTAATTTTAAGAGATTAATATTGTATGCAGCTATTGCTCATTAATAGTCTGATCAAGAATGCCTGATGTAAGCCTGGACTGATTTTTTTCCAGCTCTCATTTCTCAGTTCAGAATACATTCATCTAATCTTAGCCTGATTAGATCGTTGTGCCTTCTGTCCTGCAAAAAAGTAGCAATATCACAATTCTTCAGTATAATAAATAGAACTAAAGTGTTCCCTCAAACCTGCCCTGTTTCTGCTCTCAAATGTAATTTCCAATTCCTCTGGGATTCCCAAAATTCCCAGTTGTTCCTTTTTTAAAAAAAACAACAACATGAGATAGTCAGTCACAAACTTAACACAGCCAGACAAGCTGTATTTTAAATCTCCAGTTCCAAATAATTTGAGTATATAATCGTATTTTATGCAGTTTCTTTTATAAAATCCATAAGAATTCTTAACATCACCTGAGAAAATCTTTAAGAATCCCAAGATAACATTCTATAGTGAAACAGTGTTCTCTTTAAAAATTAGAAGAATGCTGTAATTTTTTCAGAACTACTAAGAAAGGATTTTATCTCTGATGATAGCTAAAGCTGTGTTTTTTCTTTCTTTTGGGGGGAATGGGGGCAAGAAATGCATTATTTTAGTATCACTTATCAGAATAAATAGTTTGTTTTACTTCTTAAGGTAATATTTGTATATTTTAAAGTACATATTTTATAATCATTCATAATACACTGCAATCTAAATATTTTCTAAAAGTGCCTATGTCTGAGTGTATGTATAAAAATTAGTTATTAGTTATGTGTCAAGATTGTATATAAAGAGCAGCATTCAACAACACAGCATAAGATAATCTAATACTGAGAGTTACAACTGTACATATTTATATGTTACCATTCTTAGCTAAACTTAATGGAAAGTGAGTTAACTAAACCATTATAAAACAGGGCTATATTTATTAATAGATGCCCTAGTGTTACAGGGGGGGGGGGGGAATCAGTTGTGTACCACAAGAGCGAATGCAAAAGGGTTAGGAGGTAAAACATTTTAATCCACTGGTACATGACCATTTAAGTGTATTTGAAATTCTTACTTTAAAATATTGGGGGGAAATGTACATTTACAGCTCAAAGGGCCATAATCCTTAAACTGATTAGCAGGGCACTTCTTCTGAGAGGATAACCATATTGTGTGGTTAAACTTAAAATGGAGGCACAAATACATCAGGGATATAAAGATCTCTTTCCACTATACACTTTTCACTGTTTTATACTGAATAACATAAACAATGATTAAGCAAAGCTAGAAGAAAATAATTGGCTGCTTTTTTTTCAGATTCTTTCTTTAAATCAAAATACTGCATGTCAGAGGCTAAAACTACCATGACATCTTCTTTTCATCTAGCTACAGTCAAACCTACTAGTGAATAATTTAAATAGATAATAGAATAGAGCCGGTACTAAATGTAAATCCCGAGTTACCAAATGTACAGATTAATAAATGGAACTATTAAATTCTATTGCCCTAATTCTATACTGAAATACTTTCTTAAGTCAGTTCATATACCATTTACAATTGTTCTTCAGTTTGCAAGTGCACTGATTGAATGTGTCCATAGCAAAAAAGTCTGTGTTAATCTCTTTAAAACAGATACTGTTATATCTCCTGATTAGTTTTCCTGATTTTTCTAAACATCATAAGTTTATGGCTGCCCTTTGCTGGGAGCAGAAGGCTTAACCTTCTCCTCCCCCCTCTTTTCCTTTCCTGTTTTGTTTTGTTGTTTTACGTTGGGTTAATGCCAAGCTATATTTGGCTGATCTAAAAAATAATTCTAATTTTCATCATGAGAATATACATTGAAATTGTAGTCACTGTATACCTATTTCAGATGAGTAGCTCTTTCATATATGCTTTGTTTCTATGATAAAATCCAGCTTGTTCTCTGTTTTAATACAGAAAGTAATTTAAGTATTTAGCATCAGATTATATATCAGTGGAATGATATATAATGGTCAGTTGGCAGTGTAATAATGTATCCTTTGAAGGATTTTAATTCAGGCCTCTCTGACATATTCTTGTTGTAGAAACAGTTTCAGTTCTATTGGCTGAGTATTGTGCTTATGCTGGCAATCTCCTGAGTTACTCTGTAGCTGGCAAAAGAAGTTAGTGTATGCAGGTCATTTAGAAAGATGTACCTAACATCTGAGCTAGTGGGGAGAGTCATGGCTTCTTGTCTCCTACATAAAATAATACACATAGTTTAAGATTGTTTGCTTACGGATTTAGCTCTGCTCATCAAAGGTATGGCTAACCTCCTATTGATATTCAGCAAATGCACAAAAGGCTAAATCCTTATTCCAAATGAGAAATCCCCAACCAATTGCTTATTTCAGAGTAGATAATTTCAAAGAGGGTTCTTAATCAGTGGTATGTATATACCACAGGTTGCCTGAAAAGATTGTAGGACGTGGTGTAAGCCACTGATACTCTTAATCCCTAGACTACCATACATAATACCATACATAATAATTATGCAGTCTATGACCATAATAAAATTGGACTGATTGATAATAATAGAATGCCTGCAAACACACAAATGTCCTTCTTGGGAAAAGTGTGTGTTTGTATCATGTTGGAATCCAGATTTTGTGCTAAAGTAACCAGGGACCAAAGTCTGAAAATCACTTGCTTATAAGATAACCTGTGACCATTGCAATTTAGCTGATCTTCATGATGATGAGGGTTAGTCTGTAACTAAAGATACCAATTCTGGTATCTTTTGAGCTATACAGCAGGGTTCCTGGAAATTCATTGGTAGAATGAGTATCAAGGAATTAATTCACAGATGGTTAAATATTGTCACTGTGTTCCTTGGGGGATATCAAGTACACTGCAAAAAAGGACCTGTCAAAAATGCCAGTATAAATATTAGAAAACCAGTGTTATTTTAATATGCCTAGCTAGCTCCCAGCTCAAAATTTCACACTGTGGTTTCTATGGTTTCAATTACTTCTAGTTCACACTGTGAGGGTGATAGAAGGGGACACTCATCTGGCTCCCAGCTACTGTCTGGACTATAATCCTCTTCTGAACTTAGCTCTGCTCCTTCTTCTGTGTCTTCATCACATGACTCTACATAATGAGCCCCAACAGCATTGATCCCAGAATCCTCAGAACTGGAAGGGGATGAGCAATGATCTATTTTTGGTGTGTTATTCTCTCTCAAAATTAAGGCATTGCGTGTGGGGACCTCCTGGGGCTTCATCTTATAGGAGAGAGCAGGAGGTTGCCTCTGCACATAACACATCTTCCCATTGATGCATTTTACACGGTAATTGTCAATAAAGAGGTCTGAAATTGTGCAAAACCGTGGGGAGTCTGGTGGTAATGGTGCTTGGAAGACAGGTGCAAACTTCAAAAAGTGTTCTGTGAGAGAGACAGCTATCTGAATAGTATTTATGGTTCCTCGAGGCCGAACAGGTATTTCAGTACTTGGAAGCTGTTCTACTGGAGTCATAGGCTGATAAACATATTTACCTGCAAAAGACATGAAAAGAATTATTGAAATCAAATTTTACTTCGTAGAAATTAACTAGATCATGAAAAAATGCTATTTCAGCCAGATGCTGAAAATCTAAAACAAGAATATGCTTAGCTTATAGGCTTCCTGAAGGCATCTGGCTGACAGCCCCTTAACTTTTTTCCATATATTTCCTTTCAATCACAGAAAATAAATATTCTGTAAAATAGTAGATTCCCCCTTCTGCCCCCATCTTGAAATTCTTTAATTTTAGATATACTATTATACAACTAAGCCATTTGTCAGAGTGTTATTTTTTCTTTGTGCCACCCGGAGGCTGTTGTGGCTGCAGTTGTTAGCGAGACATTCTAAGACACGAAATGAAGAGATTTTAAAGCCGTGAAAGCCACTAGTATTCTGATAATTAAGCCAAGTAAGAAGAAAATAGGATTGCATTGACTATGCCATATAAAAGCAGGATTAGGGGAAAAGGATATTGAAATAAAAAAGAACCATCAATCAATTGCAAAAGGCAGCTTTACTTGGAACAGCTTACATTCTGGGAGGATCTGGAGTCAGCAGAATAAAAGAGAAAGAACTGAAGAAAATCATAGAATACAAAAACCTGCAAACAGGATGGCTGTGGCAAAAGAAAGCAAAAATAATACCAAAAGTAACAGGCAGCTCAGGTGCAATCCCAAAACATCAGAACACCACTTAATGCTATCATCAATTGACAAAATCACCATCAGTTGCAAAAGGCACCTTTACTCAGAACAGCTCTTACCCTAAACATGCATTTAATACCATCAAACAAAATCTGTTTATCCCTGGTCCTTGGGAAGGGCTCAATACAATCTAGATATCTGGCTGACTGTGCAATGAACCATAATAAAACACAACAGCTGGGAAAGATTACTTTGCTGGTGATACTTCAGGGTTCTCTGTCACCACCAGAGTTGTTCCTTGACTGGCAAGTAATACCTATCAGGGCTCACAACTTGGAGCTCCTTCTGGTCTCCCAGCCCCTGCAGGTAGAAACTGGCCAGAGGGGATTATGGGTGGTGCATCAGTTGCAATCCTATGTGAGGTAAAAGTGTTTATCTACAGTAACTCGTGCTCTTACCTAGCTGAGCTACTGTAACATGTTATAGTTGCCTCTATCCTTAAAAAACTAATTGGAAGTTACAATTGGTCCAAAATGGATGGTCCCACATGCTTTCTGGCATTGATAGGAGCATATAATATTGATTTTGCAGATATTGCCTTGGTTGCTAATTGGTTTCTAGGTACAATTTAAAGTACTGGTTTTAACTTATAAATTCCTTTAAGGCTCAGTGCCTGGATATTTGCAGGATCACCTTCTCCAACCAATACTGTCTGAACAATTAAAGCAAAGAGAGGGACACTGTTATTGTTCCAGTATTTCGGGGAGGTCTGAGCAATTGCAATGAAAAGGTGCTGCTTTGGCCGTATGGAGCAGCCTCCCAGTTATATTCAGAGTAACTTCCTCCTTGTTGATGTTTCAGAAGCTTTAAAAGTCAGAGCTGATTTGATCATGCCATTTTCATTTTCTGTTTTTTATTGTCTGTAGCTTTATGTTTGGACAGTATAGTTTTATCGTTTCTATGCATATGATTACACCATGAATGTTTACTTGGGTTTTGCAATCTCTGTAAGCAGCTGAGTATCTCTGGATTGCAGTTGGGGTAGAAATGTGGAAAATAAATGTAGGAGTGATAACTTCCAGAATCTGGAAGCAAGCATGATAAACTGTGCAGAGGCAGGTAGTAGGTAGAGATATTGCTGACTTTTCCCCCCTTTTTAATGGAATCACAACCACCTGGTCTGTTTATGTATGTAGCCCTTCTTATTCTATGTTCTAATAAAAATAACTTCAATACAGTGTTTCTCAACCTTGGCCACTTGAAGATGTCCGGACTTCAACTCCCAGAATTCCCCAGCCAGCGAATGCTGGCTGGGGAATTCTGGGAGTTGAAGTCCGGACATCTTCAAGTGGCCAAGGTTGAGAAACACTGACCTAGAAGGAAATAATTAAGGCATTTAAGAACCGAGGTGGCACAGTGGTTAAATGCAGCACTGAAGGCTACTTCAGCTGGCTGCAGTTCTGCAGTTCGGCTGTTCAAATCTCACCGGCTCAGGGTTGACTCAGCCTTCCATCCTTCCGAGATGGGTAAAATGAGGACCCGGATTGTTGTTGGGGGCAATATGCTGACTCTATAAACCACTTAGAGAGGGCTGAAAGCCCTATGAAGCAGTATATAAGTCTAACTGCTATTGCTATTGCTATTGCTAATAATGCCAGTGCAAGCAACATTATGTAAAGCACAGAAAAGCATAAAGTAGTAGATTAAAATAAAATAAGGGTGATACAATAAAAGGAGAGAGACTAAATAACTGAATGTAATTTACACAACAACCAATTGCTGTATTTCTCTATATCTTCCTTTTTTAAATATAATTTTATTAACATGTTTAAATAAAAAGATAAAGACTGAAACAAGCAATATAAAGTAAGAAGGAAAAAAGCAAAGAAAAAGCAAAAAGGACAAGAACGGGAAAAAAGTTAAAATTAAAAAAGAAAGAAAAAGATAGAAAGAAGTGGTTTTCATAGCAATTATAAGTACAAATACGTTTAGAACTCTCTCTATAAAGTTACATAAAACCTGTACTATTCTTTCTATAATCTGTTCTAATCATCAAAACTCTAACCCCCAAAATCATTTTTCTCATTTTATGCAGAAAGTCCATAAGTGGCTATCAGTCAGCAATGAATGTAAATAATGACTTTTCCCCAATCAAAGAAGTCAATTTATTCATTTCAGCAAAATTGTATCAACATTTCTCTATACCTTCCTATCCTTACAAATCACCCCATTTTCCGGCATGTCCAAACATTAATTCATTCTTTGCTTTTTACTGTTTAAATTTCCTCACTTCTCTTTGAGTTAGCAGCTTTATCCCACCATAACTTTCATTGTATTCCTCTTCCTCTGAAACCATTTGGTCTTCCTTCATTAATTTATTTTAGGGTTTGATGTCATCCATTCTGTCTAAATAATGAACTCAGTGCATTTATTTTGCATGGGTCCCTCACTTTTATATATTCAGTCCACATTCAAAAATCATCCATTTATTTTTATTTTATTTTATATGATTTGATTTAACCCACACTACATAAAAACATATTCTTATTGGGTTCACTCTTTTGGTTTCTCCTAACATACAAAAAAGCATACCTCTACATAAAAATTGAATGAAATCATAATTCTGCTCAACATCTTCCCAGACATACTTAATAAATTGAACCTCCTGTCCCTGAGGTTTTTATATTCACTTTTACTCCCCCCCCACATCTCTCTCTGTTGAGGAGAGCAGTAATCACATTCCTCAATCATCAAATATAAATAGTCTTGACACACATATTAAACAAGATACACAGCTATAAGCAAACCACATCCATATGTCAACTTTTCTTCAATTATAACAGCTATGCTTACCATTGATTGTGTATGGCTTCCTTTTCAACATTTTTTTTTCTTGGATACACTAACACATTAGCACCATTTTTAAACCATTTCTTCTCTTTTTCAATCCTGTTTCCATGTCTAACATATTCCCAGCAGCATATCCTCACTTCAGTTTTATAATCATTTTATTTTAATTCTAGTCCCACTGCTAAAGTATTTAGTTCTTTCATCCACTTCCAAAACAGGTTTTTTTTTAATTTTCATCAAAAATGCTGTACTGTATTTTATATGCATCATTCCGTTTTAAGTGTCCTTGCTCTCTTGGATTATTGTGTGTCCTTTGTAGCTATTCTTTCTTTTTCCTCCTCACATTTTGCCACAAGTGCAGAGTCTGCTTTTTTTTTCTTCTCCTTTTTTTCTTGGTTCAATCAAGTGAAGCTGACTCTCTCATGGACTGAGAGACCTTGTTGACTTCCATGCTTAAGGCAGGATTAGAACTCCTATTTTCCTGATTTCTTGCCTAGTGCCTTAATTACTAGAACACAAGAGTAGTCTCTCTACTCTTTGCAACTCTCTCTCTCTCTCTCTACAGAATACACAATGTATTTCTCTTAAATTTAACTTCACAACAGCCATTCACCCTCACACATTATTTCTTCTACAGCCTCTTTCACTTATAATTCCACCAGCTTTTTTTTCTGTGCCATTTCTTTCATTCTTTCCAAACAGCTTCCATATAATCTTTCCTTGTATCCATTTCCATTCATTCTTCTGAGTAATCTTCTAACACATTTTCATACAAGAGACAGTTTCTTTTCCTGTTGTCATTCTGCTTTTATCTTTAATTTCTTTCACTTCCTTTTCTTCCACATCCCTTTTTGCATTCAGTTGTATCCATAACAGGCACAATTTCCTGCTGACAGGGCACAATAGCAGTCCATTTGTGCATGCTTGGTTGGAATAGCACTGAAATTGTTTTACCCCACAGTAGTTCAGTAGAAGGCTCCAATTTTATAATTATTTAAAATAACCTTCATTTTGCACAGAAAGAAAACATAAATCTTACTTTTTTAAAAAAAATTTCAGTGGGAAAGCTCTTATCAATAAAAAGAAGGGTGTAAGGATTTTATTATTCTCCTTTTAATGGATTTTCTGGAAAAAAAACTGATGGAAGAAGCAGGGGGGGAACTGGGAGGGTTACAGATGGAAAACAACTTTGCTTGAACTACTGTTAAATTTTGTGAAAAAGGAAAATAATTTGTGTAATAAAAATCTTGTGCAGAACCACCTGTACAATTACCAAGCCTACCACAAATAATAGCATGCTGACTGGGGAATTCTCGGCACTGAAGTATACACATCTTAAACATTGCCAAGTTTGAAAAAGACTCATACAGATTGTCCACATGGCAATTATATTTATTCTTTCATTAAAAGAGAAAGAAGACAATTGCATCTTTTTCCCATCCAACTGATGGCTTTACACATTTTATTTCAGATTGGTGAAAGAGCATTCTACACTATCAGAGTTCCTTCTTTTTGTTTGCAACTACAAATACTACCCAAATGCCTTTGCTTTTAGGGTACATGTGATAAACACATGATATGGAAAAAAAACAGAAGTTAAAAACTGTAATATATATAAAACCAAAAATGTAGCTCAGTGCAGGTAACTAGAAAAACAGAATAATAATATTCTTGTCCTGTGGCAGGATAATGAAGTGCCGGGCAAGAATCACTGGAAAATAGGACATCCAAATGCAGGGGTTCATCATCAAGTAGACCCTCTCTCAAGTTGCCAGTGAGATATTCTGATGACCGAGGGCACCTGGTAGAAAACATTTTGATAATGACCCAATATAAATGCATGCTCATTCTGATATTATAGAACTTAGTAGAAACTAAGGGTATGTTTTCTGATCAGACTGTGATAGATAACACTGAGAACATACTGATTCAAAAGTAACTCTAAGAATAGAAGACATATGGCTGCAGCTTGTGAAAATCTGGATTTGTTTATAAACCCCTCCAATAACTAGATAGATAAGCAGCCGTTAATTACTAATATCTGATTATTTAAAGATGGGCAAATATTTACAAGTAAATGCAATTTGGAAGAGTGCGCTTTTTTCTAAAAACCATGTTCTCCCTGA